CCGGGAAGAGGCGGAGGGCTGGGTGGCAGCGGGTGGCTGGCTCGTGCCGTGCCAGGTGCAGGGTCTGCTGGCTGGGTGCTCGCAGGCTTGCACCTGGCACGGGCACCGTAGCCAGCCCGTACCCCTTTAAGGGGTCCGGGGCCGGGAAGGGGGCAGAAGAGTTTCCCTGGTGGTGCCCAGAGTGGCCACCAGGGCAAGCTGGGGAGGGCTAGCCTCCCACTAGTTCGAATTCAGTGGCTACACAGCCCTTAATTCGAACTAGTTAATTCGAACTGGGCGTTAGTCCTCGTAGAATGAGGTTTACCTAGTTCGAATTAAGCACTCCGCTAGTTCGAATTAAGTTCGAACTAGCGGTTTGCATGTGTAGCACCTATGAAAGTTAATTCGAACTAACGTCTGTTAGTTCGAATTAACTTTGTAGTGTAGACATATCCATGGTGACATGGTCAGGCATGCTGCCCTCCAAGAACATGTCTGTACAGGCATGAAACGTGTCACATGTAAGGTCACACGAGCAAACCTTCACGTATGTGAGCAGCCCTGGTCCCCAGGCATGAACATGATTGTCATTCCCATGCACTCCTGGAGCCATGAGGTGTCTCAGACAGATCTCCAGTGATGTGGTAACCCCAGTGGGTGTGTTTAGACTGGCAAGATTTTGCGCAAAGCAACTGCTTTTGCGTAAAAGCTTGCCAGCTGTCTACACTGGCCGCTTGAATTTGTGCAAGAGCACTGACTTTGTAATGTATCGGGAAAAAGCCTTCTTGCGCAAGAATACTTGTGCAAGAGGGCCACTGTAGACAGGGAAGAACTGTTTTGCGCAAAAAAGCCCCGATGGCTAAAATGGCGATCGGGGCTTTCTTGCGCAAAATCGCGTCTAGTCTGATCATGGATGCTTTTGCGCACAAGCACTTTTTGCGCAAAAGCATCCTTGCCAATCTAGACGCTCTTTTGCGGAAATACTTTTAATGGAAAAACTTTTCCGTTAAAAGTATTTCTGCAAAATCATGCCAGTCTAGACGTAGCCAGGTTGTGTCTGTTTTAACACACGTGTATGAGTGGATCCAGCCCCCCCCAGCCACTCTCACCCCCGCTAACACCAATTTCTCCAAGGATGGAGCAGGCAATGGTATTAGGAAGGCAGGATAAGAGATGTCCTGGAGGTAGGCAGGTGGGGTGGGTTCTGGAGTGGCCTAGTGGATAGGGCAATTGCCTAGGGAACACAGGGCTCAAGCCCCACCCCCTCAGCAGCCCCAGTGGTGCCTTCCCTCTGTCCACCCTGGAAGTGACCAGGAACCCACAGCATCTCCTCCCAGTGGCTGGTGCACTCGGAGTGTTATGTAGGGGTGTTCCCTTGCTGCCCCACCCCAGAGGTAGCTGCAGCTTGGTGACAGGGAAGCCACCCCTGGGCAGTGTTATGTGCAGCTGTTCCCAGGCTGCCCTGCCCCAGAGGTGGGCACATGGATGGGTCACAGATTCTTCCCCTTGGGCCAGAACTAGGTGGGGCCCATAGGTGAGCTAAGGACCCAAGTGAGGCTCATGCCCTGCATCTGTCTGTCCATCCAACAGCCAAACGAGGCACCAAGCTCTCCAAGACGGACATCCTGGTGCAAATCACCACAAGCGACAGCAGCCCTACCCGGCCCAGTGACACAGAGAATGACGTCAAGGAGCCCATGGTGAGTACAGCATGGCCCCCTCCTGAGCCCCCGCCCCATGACACTGAGCCCCCCTCTGCTCCCCACAGCCTGGCACCCTGTAATACCCTGCTGGCCCATGCATCCAGTTTCCTTGGGTCACGGGTCACGGTCTGGGTGCTGGGAGTGGGGGGTGGCTGGCAAGGCCATGTACCCCTGCTCCAGACTCAGCCCCTCCCCCTCCTCACCCCACAGGCCACGAGCAGCGAGTCCCCGGCCACGTCGCACACGGAGCACAGCGAGATCCTGGAGGAGGAAGAGGGCAGCCAGGACATCAAGGTGGGAAGCCCCGCCCCCACTCCTCTCCCCAAGAGGCAATGCCCTTGTGTCTGCTCCCTCTCGCTTAATGGCACAGCCTGCTCCCCCAGTACCTCCCTGGGCCCCTCCTGCTCCATAGCGTGACCTGCTGACATGGGGCTGCGGTCCCCCTGGATAGGGGGGCATGCAGAGCACAGCTCGCCCCCCAGCATCAAGGGGCATGGGCTCTCTGCAGACTCAGGCAGCATCGCTGCATTGGTCCTTTGGGGCAGCTCTCCAGCCTCCCCTTCCCTTTCTTGTTGACACATGTCTCTCTCCCGCCAGGACCCCACCAACGGTTACTACAAGGTCCGCGCTCACGAGGAGCCTCACCTGCCTGGCAGTTTCTCAGAGTATGCCTCAGCCTCCCGCTCGCTCTACGCCGGGCCCCACACCACCATGTTTCCCCCGTCAGCACAGCCCTACGGCCACCACTATACCCTGGGGGCGCCCAGCTCCCGTACGGCCTACGAGCCCCACTACCAACAGGATGGGGTGTATGGAGGGGGCTACCTCACGGCCCCCTACACCCGGGCCTTCACCAGCTATGTCAAGCCCAGTGCCTATGAGAAGGGAGACAGCAGCTATGAACAGTCGGACCAGGCCAGCAAGGTGTCAGGTGGCTCTCGCTTCTCCTACACCTCCCTCTCGCAACAGTCGGACTACGGGCGGCCTGCCCAGCAGCGCATGCAGACACACGTGTGACTCCCCCAAATACACAACAAGACGTTGAGGGACAGAGGCCCAGGGCCACCCCTATTGGCCGATGGATCAATGGAGGTTCAGCTTAGCCAAGTGTCTCAAAATGGACGACAGGCCAGCTGACTTGTGCTGCTGGAGGTGGAGATGAGCAGCCATTGGCTAGGGGAAGGGATTCAAAATGGCCGACAAACTGGGTTCAAAATGACTGACTCCCCGCTTGACTTTTGTTCCTAGAAGCAGGGATGAGTGGCTATCGGCTCAGCACATGGGTTCACAATGGCTGAGGAGGGGGTGTTCAAAATGGCTGACAATCCTGTGGAGTTTCTCTGTTGGCCCCAGGGATGGATCTGCCCTGAATTGAGGGGGGGGACGTCCCGAGGTTGGTTACAACAACAGCCGTTGAAAATGGGTTCAAAATGGCCACCACGTTGGGTTCAAAAAGGCTGACGGCCCAGCTGACTGCGTTGGTTGGGCTTGGTGATGAATCCCAGTGACGGGACTGCCAGGGTGGATACAAAATGGCCACCAAGATGGGCTCAAAATGGCCAGCGGCCCAATCAGCTTCCTCCAGAGAAGAATGGATGCTGCATTTCTGAGCCAATTCCGTCAAGCTGCTGGCCCAGAACTGCCAGACCTGGATGTAAGATGGCGGCCGCAAGGCCAAGGTGGTGGTTGATTCTAGGCCACTCTGGGCGGCGTTGTACGCCCGGTCCAAAGGGCCAGAGTAGCAGGCTCTGGGGAGGGGGCAGTGGAGGTGAGCATGAATCCCCTCAGATGGCAGCACCTTCCCCCACACCGAGCGGGGGGCTGGGTTTGCTGCCTTCTCCCCTGCACCACCCTCTGCTGGAGGGGGCTGCTAACAGCCCATGGATGATAAGGGCAGCTTCAGGCTCTCTGAACGCCTGGCACAGGCTCTCTGCAAACTCAGGCATATCCGGGGGGGGGCTGGGTCGGGGGCAGGGGATGGGGGCGGGGCCT